AAAAGATATTTGATAGAGAAATGGGTATAAAGAGCTTATACAAAATTGTGTATGTTGCAGGACGATATTGTGCAAAATTCTTAAAGGGAAAATAGGCATAGAAAGAAAAAGAGAGATCTGGAAAAATATACTGAAATGTTAATGCTGATTATCTTTAGAGGGTGAGACTATATTCTTAACTTTGAAATGTCCTCTAAATATTCTACACTATCCAAAGTTTTCTTGTCGTGGGGAAGGAAGACGAGAGACGTCAGCACAGACCAGTGGCTCTCTGCAGGCTCACGTTGGGGTGACCATTTTTAGAGTCAGGACACCTTCCTCCCACTGGACTTCCTGGGACTCACAGAAGTGGGGGTGGGGGATGCATTTTCGCCTCCCCTGATTGTCTGGAAGCAGAATGTGACTTGAAGACTTTCTCCTGCGAGGACCAGACCCTCACTCTTGCTACTGCATGTTACGGAATCAGCCACAACGTGAGAGACTTGGAACAATAGGCCCAGTTCATTTGTCCCATCATATAAAAAGACCAAAAAAAAATCAGTAGAAAGAAAATAGCCATCAGAGACAAACAAGACCACAGCAGGGAGAGAGAAAGCAAGGCCGAGTCTCACTCCTGGGAGGGACGGTGTGGGAGCATGAGAGACGCACAGGCACAGAGGCGACTGCCACACGGCGAGAGACAGCAGCAAGTCACCGAGACAGAAAGCCCTGGGTCGGGGGGTTCGGGGAAAACTCAATGCGGGAAGGTTCTTCCCCCAGATCCACCTTCTGGTGCAAACCCCATCTCTCATGCCATTGTCTGTTGAAGCGAAGCCAGGGGCCGTTCCCACTGGGCAGTCGGTGAGAGTGTGGCTCAGGGCATCCGGGAATCAGGTCCGTCCTCAGGGCTGCTGTTACCTGGAAAAGCAAAGACAGAACTGGGCTAAAGATCCACTTTCCTATCATGCTAAGTGAAATGAGTCAGAAAGATAGGGATAGACATAGAAAGATTGCATTCATCTGGGGAACATAAAGTAACAAAATAGGAGACTAATACCCAAGAATAGCCAAGATAAGTACCAGGAGGATTACTCCATGGCTTTGAGAACAGCCGCACATACTGGGGGAAAAGGCAGCTCAGATAGAGAAGGGAGCACCAAATAAAGGGTGTTGGGAGGTTCCTCTCAGGATTGGAAATGCGTGATGAGAGTAGATTATAATCCAAACAAGATTGCCACTCAAGGTCTCTTTTGCAAACCACGGCACTCAAAAGGAAAGAGAACAAAAGGGAATGTCCTGCCACAGAGGTTGGGTGGGATGGGGGAAAGGGGGGTGGGAGGGATACTGGGACTGGTGGTGGTGGAGAATGGGAACTGGTGGAGGGATGGGTACTTGATCATTGTATAACTGAAACCCAAGCACAAAAATTTGTAAGTCTACAACTGTACCTCATGGTGTTAAAAAAAAAAAATCCACTTTCCGTCCCTATTCATAGGACATACATCACCGGCTTCCAAATACACTGGGAAAACACGAGCCTGAATATATGATCTAGAGACTAGCACGTGGATACTACCAAAAACAAGAGATTTGCTTTTGGCATTAAAGCAGCTACATAAAATAGCCATTTTCTCTCGTAAAGACATCTGCATGTTCTGACCAGTTTGTCTTCGCGCCTAAATGACTCTGGCTAAAGGGTGAAGACTTGCTTCTCTGTTGTGTTGTGTCTGGGCCACAGTGGGCGGTACTCAGAGCTTACTCCCGGTTCTAAGAGCAGGCAGGAATCACTCCCAGCATGCTCCGGGAAACAGGCGTTCCAGGGACCATATGCGGTGCCAGAGACCAAGGCTAGGTTGGCTTTGTGCAAGGCAAGCACCTTCCCCACTGTACTGCATCTCCACCCCTAGAGCCAAAAAGTATCTGAGCACTTGATTTGCTGAGTGCGTTCTGCATGTCGAAGCACGTTGGCTACAGAGTTGAACGTTGTCATTGGCAGACCTTAAATTTTACAGCAGGCACAGGAGCTGCAAATTCCTTCAGCAAGCAGCTGAATGGATGGACTAGTGGCAGAGACAAGAACCAATGAGTCATCTGTCGGGAAGAATTTCCAGTGTCTTTATTTCTGTGGTCCCAGGGAGGTTCCATTCTGAGGTCGGAGGTCTACAGGTGGCTCTGTTTTCACTCTGCTTCTTCTCCCTTTTTCTACCTCAGTGGGGAGACAGGAATATATACTCTCTCTTTAGCTCCCGATGACTAGGTCCCAGGCAGATTTAGCAATGAAGGTTCCAGATGGACAAACTGGTAGAGAACCACCCATCACATCAGCTCCTGACCCACCTCCTACCCTACCGGGGTTGACATTCCTTGCCCCAACACCTTCTCAAAGGAAGATGGCAGAGGAAGAAATTACTAGTGAAGCTCTAGAAGAAAAATGTCTTAGCAGCCTGTAGCTAGTTTCCTATAAAATTACAGTTTGGGCGCGCTGCTTTAAAGATCCGCCAGAGAGGCAAATCCAAACAAAGAAAACGGATCTTCTATGCAGACATAAAACATTCCTTGGCAAAGGTGTTGTTTCTAAAATCTCAAATGCCCAGCTCTAGCGGAATGGGCCAGGAAGCTGCAGTCTACACACACAATGCAATACTCCGAGCACTTTCACTCACTGATAACTCATTCTCCACATTTGGTAGAATTGCAAGTTTAGGACGCTCGTCATGACCATGCCTCCAGACCCCGCGTCAGACTGCTTCACTCGGGCATTCCGGAGTGGGGAGGGTGAGACCCATCCCTGCCCCAAGGGACCCGGCCTTGAGAACCAAAACCCTCCAGAACCCAACCGCTGTCATGCTCACAGCTGTTCTCCACATGCTTGGGCAGAGCCTCGCCCATGAGTGAACCTATTCCTGGACCACACATCCGAATTGGCTGCAGTTCGATACTTCAAACCACACACCCTACCCATACTCCAAGATTGCTGCACCACATCTGATAGGGTTCAAAGGAGGAGGCAACCGATCTTAGAGGGAAAATATACATTTTTTTAAAAGATCTGTATATAAAAAGCACACAAGGCTCAACCTTTAACAACATATTGGTGATCTCTTACAGTAAGGGCTTAATGGTCCTTGGGTGAAATACAACAATCTTCACACTCTTTCCTCTAAGGATACCTTTCTATAGCATTTTCTGCATTTGTTTCATAACAAAGAATACAAAATATGTTATTTCGGTTATGTTTTGGGGCAGGGATTGGGGTTCAGAATGAAAACACCCAAAATACGATGGAGGGAAGGTGTCATGGTGGTGGGACTATTAAATGAATATTAAATGTAATCAAATCTTGTGAACTATTTTATAAAATAAAAAAAAACATTTTAAAGAAAAAGAAGAAATGAAAGCTTAAAGATGAACAAGGTGGTAAGAAGCCAGTCTCCTTGGCCAGGTTTACCCACAGCCATCACGGTGGAGAGAAATCAAATGAGAGTTCACTGCTAGATGAGGTGTTAGATGGATTGCTATCACGAGTTCAATCTCTTCTGATTATCAGACCTTTCTGCTTTTAGAATCATTTACAGTTATTTCCTCTTTTCCTGTTTTAGTTTTTGTTAAATTGCTGCTCATTAATTAAACAAAATGGCAAATGTTTCGAAGCTCAATTTGAAATTTATTGTCAGATCTAATACTGTCTTCATTACCCATGATGGAAGAGTTGAGTTGAGACACACTCTTCCCAACCAGGCAAGCTTTGCTTCCTGCAGCCCAGAAGGAGACGAGACTCCGCCTGCCTCCCTGATCTCTGCAGAAGAGATGAGCCTATCTTGGTTTTAAATATGGCCTAGGATATTGTCTCAGGACAGGAGAACGATGGTAAGAGCCCTCAAAAGAGTCCAGAAATCAACAGTTAGAGGAATTTTGAAGCCACAGCAAGTTGGCATGCGATGACATCATCCATCCTAAACGAAAGCTTTCTTCAACTTCAAAAGAAGGAGTCCTGAGAAATCAATGACTAGGCAACTCTACAACCAGGAGGAAAGGCAGGAAGGCAGAAAGGGATGAAGGAAGAGGGAGAGCGAGGAAGGAAGGGAGAAAGAGAAAGGGTGGGAGCAAAGGAAACAAAAATGAGGAACGGAGGAAGAAGGGAAGGGTGTCTTCCTGTGCTTCTATTTCCTTTTCAAGAAAAGTGACTTTGTACTGTCTGACTGAAATCCAATCCTGAGCGGCTTTGTAATGCTCTAAAATAATAAATAAAGTAAAATAAAAAATCGTTTTAAAAAAAGAAAAGTGGCTTTTCTTTCCAAGTTACTTCCTGAAAAGGCCTAGTCAAACAGAATGCCTCTACTATAATTCAGAAATTGGACAGGCGACACAGAAATATCATTCAAGCAAATGGTGAGATCGCAGAGCAAAAAAATTTAAGTTCAGGTTGCCAGTTAATTTTATTACATTTGGATTGTGCAAGTCGTCAACTGCTAGAAATCCTAACTGTCTCCATAAAACACATTAACACCCAAAGGTGACCCGATTCCATTTGTCCGGCCCAGAGCAATAAGCATAAAAGACAAAAACAACGCTTCTCTGTGAGAGGGAATGAAGGGGGAAATATCGTCTTAGAGTTGTGTGACTTGGTTCAGTTAAAACCAAACAGGAGCAAGTGTTCTCGCGAGAATTCCATTTCCCAGGATCCAGTGCTACCTTCTCACCTCTGACCTCTGACCTTGAAGAGTCTAGTTTCCTAGCACTCCTATGTGTGTGTGTGTGTGTGTGTGTGTGTGTGTGTGTGTGTGTGCGTGTATGCACGTGAGGGCCAGGGGGAAGGGGAACTTCCTCTTGGTCCCCCCATAATGTGTGTTTAAGGGTTTTACACGGCACATTATTTTTCAACCTGATAGATAAATTAAAAAATTAGAAAAAGATCATGATTTTATGTTAGTCTTAGGCATTTTCAAAGCAAAAATTATATAAGCTGTTGAGATGACTTACCTGCTATAATTAGATTTTCCTCTGCCCGAGTCCATGCAGTCTTATTTTATTTTGCTAGCAATCTCTTTCAGAAGCCCCTTGAGATCATTAAGCTTGCAGGAGAGGGAAGAAAGAAGTATTCAGAGAAATTTTCCAACCTTGAATTTCGAACTATTACTCTATGACTCATGTCACTGATGTATATTAATTAGCAAACATGGCGCATCCCTGAAATAAGGTGGAATGAGTGATTGGAGGAGTTTCATTGCTTTCAAAAATCATTTTACTGGAGAATAGTTGTCAGTGCAGTTATTATTATCCGGCTCAACTGGAACCCACTAGGGGTCCCCCAGGAAACCACTGCTTTTAACAACACCTAGAAATAATCCACAGAAGTAGTGTTCTGCTTAATCGAAAAATTATGATACCAAGAAACTGTGCTCAGATTTTTTAAATGTACTGATAATCTGATGCTGTACTAATAATTTAAATTTTTGGTTTGATTTGGGGGTTAATCTTTTGTTTGTTTGCTTTTTGGGTTTTTTTTTTTACACTCTAGCTGTACTAATAGCTTACACCTGGCTCAGCACTGGGGCTCACTCCTGGCAGTGATCAGGGTATCACATGTGGTGCCAGAAATATGTCCCTGGATGGGCTGTGTGCAAGGCAAGCGCCCTACCCACTGCACTATCTTTGTGGCCCCAATCTAATTTTTTTGCAAAGAAAATATTTTCCTCTCACAAAAAAAGTGTAAGTCGTGCAACAACTACTTGACACACCTTATGGTGTGTCTGAATCAATCTTCTCTCAATTCTCTCAGAAAATGGAAAACAAAATACTGCGACAACATAATTAGACACCATAACAAAATCACTCTCAGTTCATGCAGATTTCACCCGTCCACTACTCAGGAAGACAGAAGCTCACTTTTATTTATTTATTTATTTTTCCTTTTTGGGTCACACCCAGCAATGCTCAGGGGTCACTCCTGGCTCTGCACTCAGGAATTATTCCTGGCAGTGCTCAGAGGACCATATGGGATGCTGGGGATCGAACCCAGGTCGACTGCGTGCAAGGCAAACGCCCTACCCACTGTGCTATTGCTCCAGCCCCAGAAGCTCATTTTTAAATCGTATGCCGCCGGCGTATGGTTGATAAAAGCACAGGCAGCAATTCCTGAGTGGCTGGTCTCTAGTTCACTCAAGGAACAACCCATGTTTAACTGCAACTCATTTCCCATATAACCTCTTGATTTAATTTAAACAAATAAACATACATAGAGAAGCCATAAAAGTTTAATGCTCAAAAACAAAAACAAAACCATAGAAAGATCCTGACCTGGAGGCTAAGGTCACGAGGAGGCACCCCTGCTTCCCAGAGAGTGAGATGGAGAAATGTTTGATCTCCTGAGGGAGTTCCTGTGGTTGGTCTCACAGCTCTGATGAGCTGTTTGAGGAGACCCAGGCCGCCCGTGCTTGCTCCTGGGACAGAGGCTGGTCCTGAAATGCCCTGGGGATGGGCAGGGGGTGCCCTGGATGTGGGGAGCAAAGGCACTGAACTCCAACTGAAGGATAACATTGGTTATCCTATACCCGGGTTACTCCCATCACAGTGCTCCCATTCCTCTGTGTTTATTTGTAAGCTTTTTCTTTGTGCTCTGCTTCCCCAACAGGTCTATCACTTTTATCTCCTAATCAGACTCTGTGAACTTGTAAATATTGCTTTTCTCTTCTCCTTAAGTCCTTTGCGTAGTTACTTAAGAGCAATGTCCTTTTTGTATAGACACAGGAAGACAGTTCATGCCATGCTTTTGTAACTTGGGAGTTAACTGACTCCAAATGATATGAACAGATCCTGGGCATCTGTTCTCTTGAGTTAAGCCTCAGTTGCCCTTACTTCCTAGCACCCCAAAAAGCAGCATCCCAACGAGGGACTGGATGGCCCCAGGGCAAGCAGTGAGCTACCCTGGCATCCAACAACAAGGATGCCAAAGGGGTGGGCCCCGAAAGCACTTCTACCTCTACTGCCCTGGACCCCCAGGTAGAAACAAGCCCTTAACTCCTGCCTCTCCACGCCAGGACCCCCAGGTAGAACTAAGTCCTTGACTCCTGCCTCTCTGCCCCCAAGACCCCAGAAGGTGCATGTGAGTGGATGACCTTCAGTTGTGAACTGTGACCTGTCACTCCTGCACACACACACCCTCCGCCACATCCTTGCCCTGTTCAGAGCAACCTACAAGCCGCATGGCCGTTGGGGACCAGCCTGTCCTGTTGGCCCCAGCTCCTGATGGTTCTAGAACTGGTGGTTCCCTGGGGGTGGCGCCTCCTGCTTCGTTCTCTCTTTCCCTGTCCCCTGGGCACCCCGGGGCAGGGTGAGCAGGGCTTGGGGGATCCCAGTGCCAGTACCAGCAACTTTGTCTCAGCTCCCAAAGCTGCCCAGAAGAATCACAGGAAAACAAGCCCAACACAGCTGCTGCACGGGCCCAGATGCCCGAGTCTCGGCCCAGTCCCTTCCCCCCAGACCAGACTGTAGGACCCCAGTCACCTGGAGGGTCTTTGAAGGGCTTCACCAATGTCCCTCTTGAGCCAAACTGCTCCCAAGTCCTCTCCTGTGTGCAAACAAAGCCCAGCTCTAAAGAGGTTGCAAGTCCCCACACGGGAGACTGAAGGCTCCCCCCGTTCCTCCCTCTCTGCTTTTGTCCTCCGAGTTCCCATCCTGCTCCGGCTTCCCGGAACAGTCCATGCCCGTCCCCACACCTGGGGATACAGGCAAGTCACAGAATCTATCTCAGAGGCAGGTGGACAAACGCTGTTGCTGGGTAACCCTGCATGGCTCAGCTGGACGATGGTCAAATCACCTGGCGAGGGCCAGCGGCAAAACTCAGGGGCCACAGCCTCCCGGATGGCACTTAGGTCACTGCTGCCGGCACTGCGGGCCCCAGCCACTATTCTGTGCCTTGGGATGGAGCGACGGGAGCGGCAGATGGTGCATTCATGAAGGCAGGAAGCGGGAATAGTGACGCTATTACATAGGGCGCTTTGCATATTAGACACGACACCTGTCAAATCTAAGCACTCTCCCGATACTCTGCCCTGTTTTCCCTTTTCTACTGTCTCAACATTCCTTCCACTTCCCCTTCGCCACTGATTATGGTCATGCTATATACCCCAGCCTAAGCATAAGTCCAGATACTCAAATCTTTAATACTGGAGTCTCCCAGGCCCTCCCCTGAAAATCAGTAACAACGCCACATCAGAACGAGAGACGCTGTAACGAGGCACACTGCTTCGAGGGAACGTGTCCCCAAGGATGGTTGCCAGAGCTTCCGGTCTCGCTGAATGTGTCCCCGTGAACGTGGGGAGGGGCAGCCTCCCTGGCCCGAAAGACTGGCAGGCCTGCTCTTGAAGACCAAAATCAGCACACAACACCTGGCATTCATTTAGATTCTCCCTAAAACCGCATTTTCCAACAGAAAGCTACACTGCTACAAAAGGTTGTGAAGAGGGACATGTACGAAAGGTCAACAACTGACCTGCAGGAAACACTGGACACCAGGGGAGTCCAAATTCTCCTATCTCCAAAAAGCCAGAAACTCGACCACCTGTGTGAAAACAACCGATTCCACTGAAGGCAGATCTGATGCTCTCCAGACCCTCCTCACCAGCTTTCCTAACACCATCCAAACCCTCCAGCACTGTGACCGGGGACAGTTCTGATCTCACTGCCCCGTGTCCTTGTCAGCCAACCTTGCGGTAACGCCTTTGCTCTCCTCCAAAGCTGCTGCCTCCCTGAGGGAGTCTATAGACATGAGGCAGCAAGAGCCTTTGTTCAGTGACACTTGGAGCTATAGAGTCTGTGTCACGGGCCACCACACCAGGTCTGGGCAGAGCCCTCAGCGCAGGCAGTTTTTCTACCCTCATCTCTGGAGGTCAGGCACCCTGTAAGACAAGGAAGTGTCCCAAGACCACGGTGCTCCCAAATATAGGGCGTTGGGAGGATCCTCCCAGGATGGGAGATGCATCTGAAAGTAGAGTATAGACCAAACATGACTGCCACTCAATGCCTCTTTTGCAAACCACAGCACCCCAAAGGAGAGAGAGAACAAAAGGGAATGCCCTGCCACAGAGGCAGGATGGGATGGGGGGATGGGGGTGGGAGGGATACTGGGATCAGGGGTGGTGGAGAATGGGCACTGGTGGAGGGATGGGTACTCAACCACTGTATAACTGAAACCCAAGCACGAAAGTTTGTAAGTCTACAACTGTACCTCATGGTGTTTCACTGATAAAAATTAAAAAAAGAAAAAAGATCACAGTGCTCAGGCAAACACAATCGGATGTGTCAGACGTCATGCTAAAGAGAGGGCTGGGGAGGGCGTGGGCCTCCGGTGAGGAATGGCCTCCCTGCCACTTGACTCAGTGGAGCACACATGGTACAGATGGACCATTGTGGCCTAGCCTCGTCCCAGCCCCCACCTACAACCAACAGGAGCAAATTAAAATAATTGCTCAAAGTCACTGCAGTGGGGGCTGACGGCCAAGTGAACTCACACTAACGCACAGACGCAGCACAGCCAGCTCCATCCTACTGAGGAACTGACCTCAACATCCCAGGCAGATGGAGAAGGAAGAGAAGAGGGAGAAGGAGGGGACCAGGCATCGACCCACCATCCTGCGCAGGACCAGAGTTCAGGAAATCAGGCCTGTGAAAACACTCTTTGACAGAGGTTGATGGAAAATGACATTTCCAGACCAAAAAGAGGGCGGGAGAGACAGTACAAGGGTGAAGGCACATGCCTCGCACACAGCCAACCCTGATTCAATCCCTGACACCCTGAGCGCCTCCAGGGGTGATCCTGGGCACCTCCAGATGAGGTCCAAACAACAAAAATAAAACGAATCTCAAAATCAACAAGAAATGGCAAACTGGGTACATTCTCATGGCCACATGCCCTGAGGAGGCCCATTGATTCAGTTCTTCATTCAACCAAGGTTTACCGAGATCCCACAATGGTCCAGTTCCTAGTTCCCAGCGACTCTGCCACAAGGAAAAGACTTGGTCCAGCTGTCAGACACATGGCTCAGGGGCACCATGATGTTATCCAGGATAATCTTCTCCAAATACTATGAGAAAACACTAGACCCCCATCTCCCCCTCAGAGTCTAAGCCTTTGTAAATTGATAGTGATTCACACACCTCATTGGTTCTGGCATGGCCGCCCAGCTCGGCTCGGAGGCGGGCTTGTTCTCCATGCTATCCACACCATGGGATCACTAATTCTCAGTGCCCTTCAGCTAAGTAACGTTTGAAAGGTGGCTTAGTCCAGCACAGAAGCCCTCGGCCTCCCCAAACATTCTCTCTACAGGACCAGAGCCATAGTACAGCAGGTATCTGTCTGCCTTGCACGCCGCTGACCCAGGTTTGATCCCTGGTAGCCCATATGGTCTCTTGAACCCGACAGGAGTGCTCCCTGAGCACAGAGCCAAGAGTAAGCCCTGACACTGGGTGTGTCCCAAAACAAATGAAACAAACACAACACACACACACACACACACACACACACACACACACACACACACACCAAAGCATTCTTCCTTTATCTGCAAGCATCTTTCCCCTCCTCTGTGGCCAAGATGCAGCTAAGGTTATAGCTGGTTATACAAAGGGAATAGAATACACTAGAAATCTCGCCAACGGGGCTTTAGGGCTAGTCCCTGTAGGGGTTGTGTGAATCTGAAAAGCAATTCAGTTTCAGGACCTGGACCTTGCAACTTGAATGAAAAAAAAAATGGGTCTATCTTCTTAGAATAATCGGCTTCTTTTATTATGGAGGCCATAACCATTGGCCTCTAGCTGAAAGTTCAGCAATAAGAAAGATTTAAAAATGTTTCCCCAAATGATGATCGGGACTGTACCTTGGTATCCAGCTGTCTAAATCGATGCCGCATCCTTCAAGAGAGTTCAAAGCAGAGCGAGGGGGAGGAAGGAGATTGAGAAAGAACTATTAGGCTCCACTTAAGGTCTTTGAACAGAACCACACAATGTTCACTCTAGTTAAATCACCATCATTGATGCACGCACAGTGTTAGTGTCTAAGCCCCAAATGGAACCATTCTGCCCACCCCCCTAGATGAGAAGAGCTGCAGAGAAGTGCTATCCTGGCTGGCTGGGGCGTGGGGAGGGGATGTCGGGCCCCTCTTTCCTTTCCACCGAGGACTTTAGGATGAAGGGGGCAACTTGGAGCTTCCGTTTTGTGACAGACAAAACCCATGGCATGGGGCTCCTGCTTTCCAACATCTGTGTTGAACTTAACAGAGGGACTAACTGCCCTGACATCTGTCTGGCTTTGTCAAAACAAATTTTGATGATCCCAGTAAACATACCTCATCTGTTTCTAGGCTGGGTTTCTAGCAACTCAATGTGATTTCCGGTGCTTTGCAGACCCAGTAAATGTTGGTTCCCTCTGCCTCTTCATCAGGGACATGGTGTGCGGCCCCAGATCTGTGGGTCACTTGGATCTCATCTTTGAAGCTGGGGGCTGGGGGGAGTATCTCCCAGATACCAAAGCCCACCCTGTGGCTTCCCCGTGCTACTGCACACCCTCAGTCCTTGAGGGACCCACAAGGTGGACGGTTGGTGGGTGAAGACTGGGACCATGACTAGGGGAGATGCTTCTAGCACGTGGCTCTCTGCAAACTGGGTATATTCCCATGGCCAAATGCCACGAGGAGCCCCTTTGTTTTCAGGGAATTCTCTACTGAAAACACTTCCCTGAACTGCCTCCATTCTCTGGCCTTACGGGCCCCCGGGTAGGTTGGCAAAGCACAAACCCACGGCTGACTTACTCCTCTGAAGTGTCGTTGGCCTTCGTGTTAATCTTGACAAGGTAATTCTCCTTCATGACGCCCTCCCATGCCAGGGTCTCCTTGTCTTCATTTCTGAAACCTGAAAATCATGAGAAAAGACAAACCCGGGTAGGTTTCCCTGGCCCTCCACTTCCCACCCACTCCTGAGAGGAGCAGAACCCAGAGATTTACACGGGCGCATGGGGCTTTAGTGACAGCCGCAGGGCCAGGGGCTGTGGTGAATTCCTCAGCCATGGTGAGGGTTGAGAGCTGCCCACAGGAGCAGTAATCATTTTTAGTCTAAGTAGATAATGATGCATTGCCCACCCGGCATCTGAGCCGAGAAGTACACAGGGCAAATGAGCCCGTTACTTCCCGTGAGTGAATCTGGGTCTCTGGTGTCACGTGACCCCCTCTTCCCTGCTACGGGCCTAAGGTCTCTGGGTTGAGGGCTCACTAATGGATTGTCTGCTCTCTATTGAAGACGAGGGAGGAATTTCAGAGGACAGTAAGGCCTGGACATGGCGCTTTACGCGTCTGAAAGGGGGTCTCTTCTTTCTCCTCACCTGCCTGAGTCACATGCCCACAAGCTTCTTAGCAACTCTCTTATGGACCGTTGGCCTCTGGAGGGAAAACAACGGGAGCTGGCAGCTACCATGAGACACATGGTTGCAGTCCTCTGAGCCCCAGCCCCAGACGTCACCCGCTGGGGTTCTCAGGACAGGAAAGCGGGTGGGTGCTTGCAGGTGACCACCTGGGGCCAATTTGCACTTTGGAACGTGCTCACCAGCAGGTCAGCATTGAAGAACAAGGGACAGAGGGGTCTGGATTTTCAAAGAATTCACCGGAGGGACAAAGACAAAGCCAGAAAAATATGCCAGTGCAGGCGTTGAAACGCATCTTGCACTGCTAATGCAAGTTTGTTTGGAAAGGGTGGCTATTCGCTTTAGAAATGAGCATTCCTCACAGATGTTCTTCTCACTGTGTGTGTGTGTGTGTGTGTGTGTGTGTGTGTGTGTGTGTGTTTCCTAGCAAAGTTGTTTCAGCATTTTTTTCCCTTCAACCAGACATGTTCTTTGAAGCTTAATCGGAGCGTTTAAGAATCAATAAGGAAGTGTTTGATTCTCTGGGCGACAAAGGGCCTAGAAGCTGACCTCGCTGACCCTCAGGGGAAGCCTGCTGAAGTAATGACAGAATTGTCGCCAGCCTCAGTGGGGCATTTGCAGGGTCGCCCACCGTGACAGGCCCCGTGTTATCAAAGTCGGAGATACTTAGATCTCACCTATGCTGGAAACAAACTAGAAACCCTTGCAGAGGTAAGGACTGGGAAATGAGAAGGAGCGGGGCAGGCAGGACCAAAACACTGGGGGATGTGTTTTCTAGAAACTTCTCCTCTAGGTAAAGGTAAAGGTAAAGGCCCTCCCGTTGATCGTCAATTTGCTCGAGCGGGCCCAGTAACGTCTCCATTGGAGACTTTGTTGTTACTGTGTCTGGCATATCGAATACTCTCAGTAGCTTGCCGGGCTCTCCGAGAGGGGTGGAGGAATCGAACCCGGGTCGACCATGTTGGCCGCTTGTAAGGCGAACGCCCTACCCGCTGTGCTATCGCTGAAGTGACCCAAAGTCGAAGGATCACGAATCTGTGATTAAAATCTGTGGTTAAAATCAAATGTGTGTATGGAGGAGACAGGGGGCTGAACTGAAGGGATCCACTGGTGATGGTGGGTGTGGTGGGGTACCCTGTACCCCCCAAATATATAAGCATTTAAACTCTCACAAACCAACGTTCCCTCAATAAAGAAGAATGCACATGTAAAAGTGTTGAGTATAACGTCAGCTGAGGAGAGAGTCCGGCCCAGGAGCTGCTTAAACGAGAGATGGAGTGTCACATCCATCAAACGCGTGTTTCAGGGTCTAACTCCTCGGCCGGGCTCCCTCTTCACGCCCGTGTCCTCCCTTGAACATGCATCTCTTTTGCTTGTTTAGGTGTCCGTGTGCTCTGGCTCGTAAATAAGCATTTCCCTCCACCCTTCCCTCACATCTTTCTAAGTAAGTTTATCACTGCAATCATGGTCCTCCCATTGTTCATCGATTTGCTCGAGCGGGCCCAGTAACGTCTCCATTGTGAGACTTGTTGTTACTGTGTTTGGCATATCGAATACGTCATGGGCAGCTTGCCAGGCTTTGCCATGCAGGCGGGATACTCCCGGTAACTTGCCGGGCTCTCCGAGAGGGGCGGAGGAATCGAACTCGGGTCGGCCAGGTAGGCCACGTGCAAGGCAAATGCCCTCCACGCTGTGCTATCACTCCAGCCTAAGTAAGTTTAGTTCACTAAAAACTATCATGCTACTATTTCACACCCACCTGAAATTCTCTTCTGCGAGGGACCAGGAATACCTGTCCCAGGTGAGGACCGGCTCTCCTGCCCTCAGAGAGCAATTCCCGGCTCTACCTGAGCTCCCAGCTCCCCCAGCGACATGGCAGGATCATCCCCACCCTGTGCAGAACAAGGGGGTTCCAGGCACGGGTTGGTGGCTGCCTCGTGGGGCTGGCGGCCTGTGAAATGTGCCACCCAGGTGCTCACAGCTGACGTTAGCAGTCCCAACCCAAGCCAGACTTTTCCCCGAGCGTGGTGGCAGAGATGAAAGCACTCCCCTGCCCTATCAGAGCCAACTTGAACCACACATATGCTGCCCCAGCCCAGGTGCTGCCTGGGTCCATGTGTCATGGCCAAGCGCAGGTGGTACCCGAGCACACGTGTCACCCACACCTCCTCTCTTGAGATGTGCGTGTCCGTGCTTTGCCTTCTGATGCTGCAGTGGGTACTGGGGCCTTTGGAGAAGTCACATTCTCTCTTGAGCATGTTACTCTCCTCTCTTTCTCTCTCTCTCTCTTCTCTCTCCCTCTCTCCTCTCCTCTCTTCTCTCTCACTCTCTCCTCTCCTCTCTTCTCTCTCACTCTCTTCTCATTCTCTTCTCTATTCTCTCTCTCTTCCTCTCCCTCTCTCCTTCTCTCTCCCTCTCTCTCCCTCTCTCCTCTCCTCTCATCCTCTCTCTCCCTCTCTCCTCTCTCCTCTCCTCTCTCTTCCTCTCTCCCTCTCTCCTCTCTCTCTCTTCTCTCTCAACCTCTCTCTCCCTCTCTTTTCTCTTCTTTCTTCTCTCTCCCTCTCTCCTTCAGTCTTTCTCCCTATCTCTCTCCCTCCCTCTCTCCCTATCTCCCTCTCTCTCCTTCTCTCTCCTCTCTCCTCTCTTCTCTCTCTCTCTCCTCTCTCTCTCTCTCTCTCTTTCTCTCTCTCTCCTCCCTCCTTCCCCTTCCTCAAAAACCTCCAAATACAATCTGGTTTTAGTTCAGGAAAAAAAAATAAAGAAAACAAGAAAGCAGTCATTTCCAGAGTCTATCCCCACTGGTCCCCACCTTATCAAGCCACCAGCAACATTATCCTCGTTTATAACAATATTTGTATTATTGTTATATACATGCAGTGATTGTCTGCCATATCTACCACTCATACCAAGACTCCTATACCCATATCCCAGGGCCCCAATCTTAACTCTTCTCAAGAGTGAATTGTCTAAGTGTAAGGACAGAGCTTAACTCTACGTGACAGGGCAGAACTTGTCCCATGCCTTCTAGGGGAAGCACCTGGAAGCAATCTTCACTCTCCCACCCCAACTTTGCCTGAAGTCCCATGAGTTAGTCAGTTTCCCTGGGTGCTTCCTCAGATACATATACTCTTGGTCTTTTTTCCTCATCAATCTGTCTAATGTTTATCAGTCTAAAAGGCTCAGAATTGGGGCTGGAGAGATAGCACAGCGGGTAGGGCATTTGCCTTGCACGGGGCCGACCCAAGTTCGATTCCCAGCATCCCATATGGTGCCCTGAGCACCGCCAGGAGCAACTCCTGAGTGCAGAGCCAGGAGTAACTCCTGTGCATTGCCGGGTGTGACCCAAAAAGCAAATAAATAAACAAATAAATAAAATAAAATAAAGGCTCAGAATTATTTTCTGTGTACCCCTAACATAGCAGGAAAGAAATGTGCCACTTTGAAAAAATAAAGAAGCAAAAATTTAGATAGAACTATGTAAATCTTGAAGAACAAAATCCACAGAAATAAATAAACAGAAAAACCTTTCAAGTAGACTTTTACGCATGAATACATAAAATGTGGTGATGCACTGATTTGACGTGAATAAACCAGAGCATGAATTTGCAGAGCTCAATAAAATAACCATGCTCCCGTACAAGCAAAATAGCATAAATTCAAAATCATATCTCTGGGTAATGGGGTATATGTGCTCTTTTTACTTGTTCTAAAAATATAGATTACTTTTCTGAAAACAGTCAAAACCAATCATTGAGTTTATAGAACACAGCTCCTAAGGACCAGAGAGATAGTGGGCAGGACGCTGGCCTTGAATGTGGCTGACTGACCCTGGTTCTCTCCCAGGCACTGCATTGGGTCCCCCAAGCACGGCCAAGAGTGACCCCTGAGCACAGAGGAAGGAGTAAACCCTGAACACCCAGACAGGAGTAAGCCCTGAGCACTGTTGGGTATGACCGAATCCTTTTTCAAATCCTAGCACTGTCTGCAACACTGTCCTCCCATTGTTCATTGATTTGCTCGAGCGGGCCCAGTAACGTCTCCATTGTGAAACTTGTTGTTACTGTGTTTGGCATATTAAATACGTCATGGGGAGCTTGCCAGGCTTGGCTGTGCAGGCGAGATACTCTCGGTAGCTTGCCGGGCTCTCCGAGAGGGGCAGAGGAATCGAACCTGGGTTGGCTGGTCGGCCGCATGCAAAGCAAATGCCCTACCGTTGTGCTATCACTCCAACCCTTTTTGTTTTTTTGCCCCCCTTCAAATCCTAGCATACTTAAAAAATTATTACTCAAAAATGTCACTCAGGGAAAAAAAATGTAACTTTGAATTCTTTGTTTTCTGGAAGCTATTGGGGGGTGGGAAATTTAACATTTTTCTCCAGAGGAGCTGTTTCCAATTCACTTGGAATTAATTGAAAAGTGAGTGAATGTCCCCTAGAGGCCGGCTGGCCCAGAGGGTGGTGGTTTCTGGAATTATCTACCTCAAAGGGGAAACCAGAGGGGTCACGGCAAGGCAGGGGGCCCTGGGATCTGTCAGGTGTCCTGTACCCAAGGGCCCTGGCCTGCTGGGGTCCCTCAGGCCTGCCTTGCGGTGGTGTGAGAGTGCCCATGTCACTCCATCTCCTGTGTGTGGGAGAGGACCTCCCGCGGGGCACAGGGACACCAGCCCCCACATGCTCCATTCTTGCTGGGCCTCCTGACCATTTGCTGGCCCCTGGGGCTCTCTGCCTGCCTGTGCCCGCTCTGTGTTCATCACTCAGGGTCATCTGGGAACGCGATGCCGTGATCCTGCCCAACTTGTGCTGGGGGGGATGGGTTTGTCATCGCTGAGCGTCTGGTGCTGGAGAGAGCCCCGAGGAAGTGGGAGGAGGGGGACCCCTGTGCCCGCCACCACCAGGAGAATCTCACTCCCCACAAGGGGCGGGGGTTGCTCACCCCTAGGCAGCACAGACAGAGACATTATTTGGGTTTAGACCAAGGCAACCTGGGACCCACGTTCTGGAACTGTCACTGTCACTGTCCTCCCATTGTTCATCGATTTGCTCGAGTGGGCCCAGTAACAGCTCCATTTTTTTTTTTGCTTTTTTTTTGAGGGGGGTCACACCCGGCGATGCTCAGGGGTTACTCCTGGCTCATGCACTCAAGAATTACTCCTGGCGGTGCTCGGGGGACCATACGGGATGCTGGGAATCGAACCTGTGTCGCCCATGTTGGCTGCGTGCAAGGCAAACGCCCTACCCGCTGTGCTATCGCTCCAGCCCCAACATCTCCATTTTTTGAGACTCGTTGCTACTGCTGTGTTTAGCATATTGAATATATCACGGGGAGCTTGCCAGGCTTTGCCGTGCAGGCGAGATACTCTCGGTAGCTTGCCGGGCTCTCCAAGAGGGGCGGAGGAATCGAACCCGGCTCCACCAGGCTGGCTGCGCGCAAGGCAAACGCCCTACCACTGTGGAACATTTAGGAGAAAACAACACTGCCACTAGCATTCCCTTGTTTATGGAGTGTTTGTTCCCACACCAGCAGGCAGGGCTGGTGCCCGGCGCTGCCCTCGGGCCCGAGGACCACCAGAGAGAGTCCTGGGCATGGCACGGGGCGTGTGCTCGCCTCCCAGGTCCCACCTGCTCCTGCGCCCCCCTGGAAACGACTCGCTTTGTCTTTCCAGGCAGAACGAGCACGGCAGTGGTGGCGTGTCCCCGAGCTGTCAAAACACTGCTCTTCCTCCTAAAGGCAGCGACAGGCGTGATCGCTGGTGACATCCCAAAGTGACACTTCGTGGCTTGGAATAACGCGGCTCACTGAGGGTGACAGTGCCTGCCACCTCCCCCCTCCCCCCCGTGCCAGGTGAGACCCGTGGGACAGTCCCTCTGGGATCCCAGGCTCCCGGGCATCCTGGCTCCAGGCAGGCCCCAGCCAGAGCACGGTCACGTTCATACATGAAAGACCCCAAACCCCGACCCCACCCCAGCCAACGCCAAGGCCAGTGGCACACACGGGTCCCCTGGGCGAGCATGGGCTGTCCCTCTCTTTCTAGAACACTCTGTTCTCTTCCCCTCCACCACAGGGTGTGAGCAACGGGAAGGCAGAGGGGAGAAAGGGAGAATGAGGGAAAGACCAACAGCCCAGCTTCCTCACGACACGCTGGCCAGCAGAGAGGGCACAGTAAGGGCAGCGCCCACACTCGCTGGGACACCGGAAGGACGAGGAATGGGCCGTTTGGCCCAGGTCTTCACACAGACACTGTCACACTTCTGAGGTCACCTTCGGACTCCCGGGAATGAGCAGGGGTGGGAAGATGGGTCACAGCAGACGGACCCAGAGGAGCAGGGGTGAGGGGAGGTGGGTCACAGCAGACAGACCCAGAGGAGCAGGGGTGAGGGGAGGTGGGCCACAGCAGACGAACCCAGAGGAGCAGGGTGAGGGGAGGTGGGTCACAGCAGACGGACCCAGAGTAGAAGGGGTGAGGGGTGGTGGGTCACAGCAGACGGACCCAGAGGAGCAGGGGTGAGGGGAGGTGTGTCACAGCAGCCGGACCCAGAGGAGCAGGGGTGAGGGGAGGTGGGTCACAGCAGATGGACCCAGAGTAGGAGGGGTGAGGAGTGGTGGGTCACAGCACACGGACCCAGAGGAGCAGGGGTGAGGGGAGGTGTGTCACAGCAGCCGGACCCAGAGGAGCAGGGGTGAGGGGAGGTGTGTCACAGCAGATGGACCCAGAATAGGAGGGGTGAGGAGTGGTGGGTCACAGCACATGGACCCAGAGGAGCAGGGGTGAGGGGAGGTGGGTCACAGCAGCCGGACCCAGAGGAGCAGGGGTGAGGGGAGGTGGGTCACAGCAGCCGGACCCAGAGGAGCAGGGGTGAGGGGAAGTGGGTCACAGCAGCCGGACCCAGAGGAGCAAGGGTGAGAGGAGGTGGGTCACAGCAGACGGACCCAGAGGAGCAGGGGTGAGGGGAGGTGGGTCACAGCAGACAGACCCAGAGGAGCAGGGGTGAGGGGAGGTGGGTCACAGCAGACAGACCCAGAGGAGCAGGGGTGAGGGGAGGTGGGCCACAGCAGACGGACCCAGAGTAGGAGGGGTGAGGGGAGGTGGGTCACAGCAGCCGGACCCAGAGGAGCAGGGGTGAGGGGTGGTGTGTCACAGCAGCCGGACCCAGAGGAGCAGGGGTGAGGGGAGGTGTGTCACAGCAGCCAGACCCAGAGGAGCAGGGGTGAGGGGAGGTGGGTCACAGCAGATGGACCCAGAGTAGGAGGGGTGAGGAGTGGTGGGTCACAGCACACGGACCCAGAGGAGCAGGGGTGAGGGGAGGTGGGTCACAGCAGCCGGACCCAGAGGAGCAGGGGTGAGGGGAGGTGGGTCACAGCAGATGGACCCAGAGTAGGAGGGGTGAGGAGTGGTGGGTCACAGCACACGGACCCAGAGGAGCAGGGGTGAGGGGAGGTGGGTCACAGCAGCCGGACCCAGAGGAGCAGGGGTGAGGGGAGGTGGGTCACAGCAGCCGGACCCAGAGGAGCAGGGGTGAGGGGAGGTGGGTCACAGCAGCCGGACCCAGAGGAGCAGGGATGAGGGGAGGTGGGCCACAGCAGACAGACCCAGAGGAGCAGGGGTGAGGGGAGGTGGGCCACAGCAGACGGACCCAGAGTAGGAGGGGTGAGGGGAGGTGGGTCACAGCAGCCGGACCCAGAGGAGCAGGGGTGAGGGGAGGTGGGTCACAGCAGACAGACCCAGGAGAGCAGCTCCCAGAACCGGGTGCAGACGCCTCTCCCCACCCGATTTGGCTCTGCCCCACGTGTTCCACCATCACAGGCTACTTTCCCTGATGGAGACTGGCCCCCAGACCCAAGAAGCCCCCTCCTCTCCATTTTGCGCAAGCGGTCCCCTCTCCTTTCTGTGCAGGGGGAGGCGCGTGCGGGGCGGGTGCTCACAGCAGGCCGAGGACTCGGCGTCCCGCCTCTGGCAGCAGCAGTCGAAGCACTTCTTGACCACCATGTAGAAGTAGGCGAAGACCACGAAGGGGAAGGGGATGTTGAGGCGGTTGCAGTACTCCTGCACCAGGAAGTAGCGCTGGAACTTCCACACCTGGTCGTTGTTCTCCTGCACGATGCCCACCGTGTAGCTGCAGAGGCAGAGAGAGGCATCACCCCGGGCCGCACGTGGAGTGTCTCGCACTCAGGGCCCAGCCCGCCCCCTCCCAGCTGCACCGGATCAGCTCCTACCATTGACGGTACCACACCGGAGCCCAGCAGCCTCCAATAGCCTGTCAACATCCAGACTCCCAAGGGAGACCCCACTGAGTCTGTCCACCACTAAGAGGGCATCTGGGTGGCCATCTAACAGGGGCACGGAGTGTGGGTGTCCAATGTGGGTTTCTAACATAGGTGGTCTAGCATGGGTGTTTAACATGGGTGTTTAACACAGGTGTCTAACATGGCTATCTAACATGGGAGTCTAACACGGGTGTCTTGTAGCCATCATGGGTATCGAAAATGAGTATCTAATGTTGGTACCTAACTTGGAAATCTAACAGGTACCCACCATGGAGATCTAACATGGAGATCTAACATGGGTATCTAAGATGGGCATGTAATATGGGCGTCTAACATGGGCATATAACATGCGTGTCTAACAGGGCATGTAACATGGGTGTCTAACCTGGGTGTCTAGCATGAGTGTCTAACATGGGTATCTAACACAGGTTTCTAACATGGGCTTCTAGCATGGTGTCTAACAAGGATGTCTAACCTGGGCATCTAGTATGGGTGTCTAACAAGGATAACACGGGTGTCTAACATGGGCATCCTGCATGGGTGTCTAGCCTGGGCACCTAGCCTGGGCTTCTAGCATGCATGTCTAATGCAGGCATCTAACACAGGCTGGCCCAGGCCAACTCCCCTAGCAAGACTGTGCCCCTCCCCCAGGGCTCGTGGCTTGAGTAAGCAGTCTAGAATGCTGTTGGCATTCTTAAAGACATTCAACCCCTTGATCCGACGACTCTACTTCTGGAGATGTAACCTCAGACCCAGGAGAAACTGAGCAATGAACCTCCACCCATGGAGACACACAAGCGGCTGGTCACTCACTGCACATACAGGTCACAACGATCTACATCCAGTGCCATGACGAGGCCCACAGTGGCGCCACCACCCTCATGCTGACCCCTCACACCTCTCATGATATGTCACAGCTCTCTGGGGGGAGCAGGACCATCGGGGGCCATCCCAGCTCATATCAGGGGGATTCTCTGCATGTTCCCATTTGCTTTTTGGCACTAAGCAACAAGAAGAAGTGACTTCCATAATCAGGGAATGATTCTGTGACTGACTGATCATGTCCCAGTTCAATTGACTAAAAAATGAGTCAACTTTACTGCAGGCCAGAGGTTGTCTGCACAGGACACTCACATTCATCGCTTTAATCGACATAAGGCTTTGAGCCCTCCTCACGAGATGCCATTATTAATGGTATCTCAAACCCCACCCCTCTCAGAGAACCCTGCAAGCCTGGCAAGCTCCCCGTGACATATTCGATCTGCCAAACACAGTAACAACAAGTCTCACAATGGAGATGTTACTGGTGCCCGCTCGAGCAAATTGATGAACAATGGGAGGACAGTGGAGTGCAGCGCAGTGCTATTAATTTTAATTTAAAGGCTCTGAAGCTTCGAAGCCCCATTTATCATGGACAATGAACAGAACGAGGAACTGAGGCAGGACAATGGCCAGTAATCACCACGTGATTTCCCTAGCAAGGAGGCAATGAAGCCAGGTCCGGACCCCAGAATCCCACCCCGCATCTGTTTACGGCAGCCCTCCCTCCCAGCAGCGTGTGGTTTGGGTCAGCTTTGGGACAGGAACCTGGGAAGCCTGTGGTCACTGGGAAACACAGCCGGCTGGGCCAGATCCTCTCTCAGCAAATACCAAAGCATGCCAGCAAGCTCCCACGGACCCTTTGAAATCAACATACACCAATGATGGGTAGGGGTGTAGCTGACTCTCCAGATTCTAGAGTCAAAGTGTTTAACCAGAGAACCTAGATACTGTTGTTTCGATACCTCGTTCTTGTCTTTTGACATCTCACATTTATTGGTGGGGAGGAGGTTCCCAAGCAGTGCTCGGGAGACAGGAAACCTGAAGGCCACCAACACCCCCTCCTCCTGCCTGCTCAGGGATTCTCTACCAACCATGAGACATTCAATGCAAAGGTTCAGAATGGGGACTGGAGCAATAGCACAGCTGGTAGGGCATTTACCTTGCTTGCGTCCGACCTGAGTTCGATTCCCAGCATCCCATAGGGTCCCCTGAGCACCACCAGGAGTAATTCCTGAGTGCAGAGCCAGGAGGAACCCCTGTGCATCGCCAGGTGTGACCCAAAAAGAAATAAAATAATAATTAAGGGCCCGGGATGTGGTACTGGCGATGCCCCCTGTGAGATATTCAAGCGCCTTCAGGGCTGTCCTGAGCAGTGTCAGGGGACCATGTAGTGTCAGGGACAAAACCTGGTCGGCACACTCAGGGCACGTCGCTTAGCCACTGCGCTAAGCTGAGTCCAGGCCCAGACTCTCCCCATCTCTAACCCTAGGGTCATCAGCTCAGGCAAGGTCATGACAGGGGCCAATACCGAGTCGCAGAGACTTGCCCTGACCTGGTGTCTGGGTGGGGCTCTGCTCACGTCTGAGTTTACCCACGAATGAGCCCAGCACTGGGCAGGTGGGCCCAGGGGCTGGACTTCTGTGCACAGCTCTGACCCTGAATGAGATGCAGCCGCACCTTCAAAATCTCACGGGCAGACCAAAGGCCGACTCTTCCCAGCGTCAAGCTCCGGCATCATTTTTACGACACAGAGTCGAGGGCCTGAAAGATACTGTACGGGGGAAGCCTTTGCCTTGCATTCTGTGGACCCCTGTTCAAATATCCTCACCACCTATACAGTCCCCGAGCACTGCCCCAGGGGTCACTGCTGAGCACCAAGCCAGGAGCAGTCCCTGAGCACCACTAGGTGTGACCTAAAAAGAAGAGTAGCATTATATTTATTAATGGGGTGTCCCTGCCGACATTCCACATCCAGATTTGATGAGGAAAAGGAAAAAAAGAGCTTAATGCTCTTTTCTTAATGCATCGGGACTCATTAGAACCTTCCATGCCGTGATAAAAGGTAAGGAGAGCAAGAATCCAGGAAGGAGAATTCAAAACAACGAAACAAAGCGTTTCCCCCGCCCCCCCCCTTTCAGAAAGGAACAACTGAGAAAACGTCGATAAAAAAGAATTCCTCGTTCACAACCACGAGTAGCTAGGAAACCCTGGGAGACCCCAAGCGCAGAGCTGGGGCTTCCCGAGACCGACGCCTTATCCAAATCACTAAAGAATGCCAGCAGGTCCAGAAAGAACGGGATAGACACAGAAAGATTGCATTCATCTGGGGAACATAAAGCAACAAAATGGGAGACTAACACCCAGGAGTGGCTGAGATTAGTACCAGGAATTTTGCTCCATGACTTGGAGGCCAGCCACACGTGCTAGGGGAAAAGGCAGCTCAGATAGAGAAGGGAGCACCAAATAAAGGGTGTTGGGAGGATCCTCCCAGGATGGGAGAAGCATGCTGAAAGTAGACTATAGGCCGAGCATGATTGCCACTCAATGCCTCTTCTGCAAACCACAGCACCCAAAAGGAGAGAGAGAGAACAGCGGGGAATGCCCTGCCACAGAGGCAGGGTGAGATGGGGGAGATGGGGGGTGGGAGGGATGCTGGGACCCGTGGTGGTGGAAAATGGGCACTGGTGGAGGGGTGGGTACTTGATCATTGTATAACTGAAACCCAAGCACAAAAATTTGTAAGTCTATAACTGTACCTCATGGTGTTTCACTAATAAATAAATAAATAAATAAATAAAAGAATCCCTCGTTCACAACCACGAGTGGCTAGGAAACCCTGGGAGACCCCAAGCACGGAGTCGGGCTTCCCGAGACCGGACGCCTAATCCGAATCACTAAAGAATGCCAGCAGGTACGCGCTGCACAGAAAAACGCCGTTGTTTAAAAGGATGCCGGTTTCCCTGAAATAATTCTACAAAGTTAACACCGTCACAGTAAAATTCACATGCCCTTGGGGGTTTCTGGAAGGTGGGGGGCCAAAACTCTCCGCTTCCTCGGGGTGAGCTCGGGAGAAGTTATGAATAAGAACCAGGAAGGCCCCTGGTGCCACAGATCGAGAATTGCTTTTAAAAATAAACCGAGCTGCAGTAACAGCCAGTTCCTAGTAAAAACCCAAATAGAAAGGCTGATGAATGCATGCCACAGTTCACACGGGAGCAAGGCCGGGCGGCGCGGGGCTCACAGGAGTGAGAACCGCCCATGCGTGGGCTGTGCCCGGGCCCCCAGCTGGTCCCAACTCATCTTTGCTCTTCACTGCTCCTTCCCTGGGGCTCCCGACTCAGTGCTCACCGAGGCCTGGGTACCTATTCAAATGTTTCTCCCGCACTCCGCACCCTCAGGAACAGGGAGAGAGACAGCAGCGTCCGTGGACATTCCCTGAGGCCTGGACAGTCCTTCCCAGTAGGCGATGGGCCATGCTTCTGTCCTTGTGTCCCCGTGCTGAACGTCCTGTCTTCTCTGCAATGTTCATACTTACTCACTGTGACAATTCAGCTACTGTGGACCCTGTGAGGGCTACCTGGGCTACGGGAAATGCCCACTCCCTCTCGGGTGGTCTCCGAGGGCCCCACCGGCCCAGCCGGGCCCCTCCCTCACTCTCCCGGACCCCCCCCCCTTCCCTCTCCTGCTCTCTTCCCCAGTCAGACCCCCGGCCCTGACACCTCGGGGTCAGTTCTCTGAGCGGGGTCAGCTCTGCTGGCAGCCGACACACCCACCCTGCCACCCCAGCACTGCCACAAGCCCCCAGTCATGCCCAGAGTCCCTTGTCAGCAGTTTCTGAGCCCCATGCCTGGTGCTCCTTAATCTCAATACTTCCTCCATTCACTGCAGGTGAAGTGCTCCCACCAGGCTCGGCACTTAGTCACGCCCCCGGGAATGACTCCATTCACAGAGGGGAAACTTGGGTGCCTGCAAGGAAGCCTGGGGTGGTGATTCCTTTCTCTGCTTGCTCTCAGCCCCTCCGGCCGCC